GAACTTTTAAGTTACTTGAAGACCCATCAATGAGCCATGGTAGAGACCATCCTTGAATCGAGAGATTGCTAGGAACGACTGATGTCAAAACAGGTTATAAATAACTTTTGTGAATTATCTCTGAAAAGCCAGTGTAATCCTCCCTCTCTCTAAAGGAAACTAAGAATAGATGATAGAGCCAACTTCACAGAGCGGGACTATCCAACTAGAGTGGCTAGGGGCCACGCCGCACCAGTCACAGGCACAGGCCCCCAGCTGCATACTGCATGGGTCACATGCAGTGCAGGCTCCTGGGACCCCACTGCAGCCTCCCCACCATGCATGCAGCACCAGCTTCTTCCCTCCACCAACCCCATCACAAAAGCAATGCAAACCCAGAGTCCTTGCCACTGCCCAAATCCACCCACAGCCACCACCTCATGGGCAAGCCCTAGTGCTGCTGTGCAAGCAGTGCAAGCCCCTGTCTCTTCCCCCTCTGGCCCCACTGTTGCAGTATAGGATTCCCACCTGAGCTCTCCCACCCCCAACGGCACTGCCATGTAGACAGCACAAGCCCCACTTCCCTCTCCCCCCACAACCACACAGGCTTAGCAAGCCCCGTCCTGCTGTGCTGCCCTGCCCCAGCAATCTTGGCTGCTGCACCAGCAGAAAATGCCAGAAAGCCCCTCATTAGCTGGATGTAGCCCAACAGACATCTTGGACAGCCTCGGTATAGATTGTGACAATAATGTAATGCACATGTGGATCCCCTGGGAGTACCGTATGAGGTGCTCTCCCAACACAAGCAGTTTGGCTCAAGAGTCCCAGAAGTAAGAGGCACCGTATTACAGAAAGTTGGATGGGGGTTCAATAAGAGACACTCTCTTTGCAATAGAGAGTGCTGACCCTGTGCCCAGTGTGGCACTACGAGGTTTGAGGGAGCCACAGTTAATTTTCAGAGATTACACACGAAAAACAAGATTATCCCTTTTGTCTCTTATAATCAGCAACAGTTACAGGTATCATGACTCAATACCATATTTATAAATCTGACTATTAAAAGGCATCACAGAACATATAACCAGAAATATGGAAAACAAGTCTCCAGTAATGGTAAGGCAATTTTCCATTACAGTGATAAGACAGAGTTCTTTTAAACCATATATAACTACAGCCATCAAGGCACCAAAATTCTAGACTCAGTCTGGCTTTTGGATTCTGTCTCAATGGTCTAAAGAGAGGGTGGAAAGTCTGGGCAGCCTCCATTCCTTTATATTCCTGCCTACGTGTCTGCATCAAAGGTCCTGGTGACCTCTCACGCATACACTATGACTCAGAAGGATCGACAATTGCCTACAAGGGATTTAAAATCAATAGGCAAGACAAGTGTAGCTACTACTGGGCACCACAACAGGAAGCAAACTTTGCAATGATAAAGAAGGATATATCCACGTTATTTCTGTATATCCAAAATGCAAAGCAGAGTCAGCAGTAAAATCATGCTATTATGTGGACTGCTGAAACCAACATACAAGCTCTTGACAATGGAGCAGTCATAAGGCTAGAAAAGTTATAACTCTCCACTGCATCTGGCACAGGAAAGAACTTCCAATTTAGTAGTGTAAACGACATGTGAATACTCAACAGTCAAGCAAAAAGCCAGTTTTTCTAATGTTCCCTGCACTAACAGGTTGTGACAGGAAAACATTCCTTGCAGAAGAAGTAAAAATGTGTCACAGATGCACAGAACATACATGATATCATCACAGGCTTACTAATAAATCTAATGAACAAGCCATCTGTTATCACTGATGAAGATCAAACAATTTATTGTTTATGACTGCAACAGTGATGTCACCCCTAGCATTCAGCCAGATTAGTGCTATTTGCCCATAAAAACTGAGCACTTGAAAACATTCCACTCTAACTACACTAAAAACAGTATAGTCACCAAGCAACCCTCAGGCTCATTTTTTGCAGCATATATTCTCAAAAGGACAATCATGAGCAAATCTGGAAATATGGGGATAAGGAATGGTGAACAAAGTTCGGAAGTCCATCTGAACAAGTCAATCCAAAGCAGCTGGCGCTCACACAATACTTGTCAAACATGCTTGACAAATGAGCACTAAAAAGGCATGCAAGTATCAAAAAGGTTACTAGTGTAGAGTAACAAACAGGTAGTGTCTGCATTCCTGCAGTAGGAAATGCAATTAAATGAGGAGCTTGCAAGTACACAGGGTAGCTAGCCATCAACCTCAAAATCCAAAGGCTATGTATGACACCTTATCAGATCAGTGCCATCACAAAATGTATATGCCATAAGTATTCCCAAAATGTGCATATGGATTAAACAAATGGGTATATATTATAGCAGGGCTGTCCAAAGGGCAGCCTGCGGGCTATGTGCTGAGGTGTTAACCTGCAGCCCTTAGGCTTTCAGTCCAGGCAACCCTCCTTTGTTGGTCTCCTACTGGTACCTCCAGAGTCTCCATGCTCTTCCTTCTCCAGCTTCTGTTTTTTGCTCCCATCCCTAAAGCAGGGTGGGGCTGCATGGCCTGCAGGGCTGAGGGAGCCTATAGCTAAGGGACTCAGGAAACCCGGGACAGCAGAGGGTCATGCAGCCCCCAGCCCCTCAGAAGTAGGACAGCAGCTCTGTATTATAGGATATAAACTAAAAATAAAAAGCAGAATCTGATGGATAAAACTGTAAATATCTAAGAAGATATTTTTGAGAAATAAGCATTAAAAATTCACAATGGTCATAGTAATCTGTAGCAATTACTGAGATTCTGTATTTGAATAAAATCAGTTTGAAATGATAGATCCAGATATAAAAATTCTATTTATGAAAGGCAAAACTGTATGACATCATTATAATGCAATAATCATGTCATATTGGTGATTTCCAAGTACTGCAAATTTTAAAATCACACTGGGCTGGTCAATTACCAAGCCAAAATCATGACTTTAATATCAAATGCATAATTCCATCATACATCGACTGAACTAAAAAAGAAACTCTCTCATATACGGACAACAGAAATAGCATGCCTACACTTAAAAACAAAGGGTCTACTTAATTATATTGGAACTTGGACATTAAAAAAGTTATTTACAGGTAAGCAACTGATTTTTATACTCAGAAAACTCAAAAGTGGTTAAGCACGTTTTAATGAAGGGTGTTTTTTTTAATTTGTGCTTCTGAATCGAGTCCAAATACCGACTCTAAACAATATAGATTTTAAGATATTTATATTTTTTTCAAAATAGGGTTTTAGGAGAGAAGCAGCATTACAACCATAACTCTAAACATCATACAGTGCACCTAGCAGATCTAAAGTGCCTTAGCTAACAAAGTCTCTACTTTCCCATCTCTGACCTCAATTTTTGTAATGAAGTAATAGCACTTAATGCCTGACTCCTACAACCACTTGTGTGAGCAGAGCCACTGAATTATCATTTATCAGGCAATTCACATGACTAAGTGAGTATATGCAGGATCAAGGCTTGTAGTGGTAGTTCTGTATTTAAAAAATAACTATAGTAATGATTCTGTCCCAGTATAATTTGCATTCTGAACTGCATTTACTTAGCAAAGCAAAGCTCAAGGTTCAATTAGTGTAGTAAGTGCATCTTATCTTAACTGTGAACTCATAAGATACAGCTACAAAGAATATAAAGCCTCACACCTCAGGGCAGGCACAATGCCTCAGATCCACAATTACCTTGATAGACTAGAAAAGTGATCCACAACCAACCAGATGGGATCAACAAGGCCAAGAGCAAAGTCCTGCACTTGGGACAAAATAATTGCATGCATAAATACAGACTGAAAAATGACTTGCTAGGCTGCAGTACTGCAAAAGAACAACCTTGGGGTTACAATGGGCCAGAAGCCGAATATGAACCAACAGCATTCTTACTGCAAAAAATGCAGCAGCCTACTGGGTTGTACTAGCTGGAGTGGCACTTGCAAATCAAAGAAAGTGATTCTTCCACTGTTTCCAAATTGTGTACATGCTTCTTGAAGTGAGGCCCAAAACTGGACACAGCACTCCAGCTGAGGCCTCACTAGTACTGAACAAAGTCCAGTGCAAGGCAATAAAAATTATTAGGGGACTGGGAGGCAAGACATGATGAAAAGCCAAAAGAACTAGGGTTATTTAATCTGGAGAAGAGAAGACTGAGGGACAATTTGATAACAGTCTTCAAATACCTAAATTGATTATACAGAGGATATAAACAGACTATTTTCTGCAGCTGTAAGAGACAAGACTAGAAGCAATGGCCTCAAGTTGCAACAGAGGAAATTTAGGTTGGAGATCAGGGGGAACTTTTTCACTATGGGAGCAGTCAAGCATCAGAACAGACTAGCCAGAGAAGTTTCATTCCTAGCAGGTTTCAAGAGTAGGCTGGGCAGACACTTGGCTGGGATGGATAGTCAAGGATGTCCTAGGTCAAGGCTCCTGGTCAAGGCTAAACTAGATGATCTCATGAAGTCCCTTCCAGCCCTACTTCCTATGATCAGTTGGACATGGTCTTCACTAATTCCTTATCCATGAATGTATCAAAATTCCTATGTATTTTAGTTAGAAAAAGATTTTAGTGAAGAACGGTAGATCGTAAATCTAAATTTCTGATTGTTGTAAAAACACTTATATGCATGAGGGCCTTTACTAATATGAAGTCCTATGGCCCTATTAAGGATTAGAATGAAATCTGCATGTACAAAGGAATTTTGCAAGGCAAGTGTTTCATGTACTCTCCTCTGAAGCAGCTGCTGCTGGTCACTGTTGTAGACAGAATACTGGACTAGACGGACCACAGATCTCTCATTCAGATGGCAATGCCTTTTTCCAAGCAATTTATCATGCAGAAGCTTGCACAGCAGCTGCCTGAATCTTCCCTACTGTTGCTTTCTACATAAATAGAATGAGCCAAAAAGAGAATTATTTGTCTGAAATGACATGGTACCTGTGGCACAGAAGCTTTTTCACATGTTTAGGATGTTAACATACCTGTTATTGAACAATACACAATATGAGGAGCAACCTTTTTAATGTCCTTGTAGCCCAGACCCATTTCAGCCAGTTTCCCAGGGATGTAGTTTTCCACAAAAACATCAGAGACAGCTGCAAGCTGAAAGAAAAGGTGAAGAGGACTCAGACTTCTTAATGAACTTCCAAAAACTCACTGAGTTCCCCCCACACGTAACTTAATTTAAAAAACAAGATGCGTGCTGGCCTTCCAGCAGCACAGAATTCACAAGGCAATCATGACTGGTTTAAATAAACTGATATACTGTTCAAGTGGCTTCTACACCCTGGTCAGTCGCATCTAAAAAATGCTGTGTACTTACAAGAGAGTCAATGTTAAGGTCTTGTGTATGTCAGACATCACATAATTGGCCAAGGTCTGCCTACATTTGATGAGACAACCACCTTGTATTTGCTTTTCCTAACCTTGATAATGAGTGGGAATAGGCAGCACCTTCACATGTCCTCTGTTCCACACCCCCAGCAATAGATATTTTGGCAACTGTGTTTTTGATTTGTTTCCATGTATAACAATCCAATCATGTAACATAAAAATCCTAAAGTCATCTTCAGAAACACTGAAGATCTTCAGGAGCACTGAAGAGCAGTGACGTCCTGGAGTCTGACTTTCTGGATCATAGCAGTAATGATAATATAACCTGTTCGATAGGAAGCAGTTAGTCCTATGGTTACTAGAAATCTCCATGCCAGGTGGAATATTTCTCAGCACAGAAAACCAAAGACTACTTCCATTTTCTCAAATGTATCTGTTTCCTATGTTCTAATCCAGAGGTGCTCAATCTTTCGCCCCAAAGGCCAGAAGAGTGACGTGAGGCCAGTCCATGCACCAGGACTCGTGTCACCTCTTCCCAACCCGTATGCACCAAGATCTGGCCCTGTGCCACCTCTCCCTGGGCCTGCATGCCCAATCTCCCACCTGCAGGGCTCCCTATGGGTTGGGAAATTTGGCAGCAGGAAAATAACCATGACTCCCCCACTGCCAAATTTTTGGACCTGTGGAGAACTTCGCAGGCCAGAGGACAAGGCTCTGCAGGCTGCATCTGGCCGGTGAGCTAGGGAATGAGCACCCTGTTCTAATCTACAACTAAAACTTCTCCATATGCTTTTGTAGTTGACCTCAGATGATATTGCCAAGAATAGCTAGTTAAATGAAAGTTTCAACTTGCAGAAAATCACCTTATTATTTTCCAGTTGTTCAGTGGGGTGGGGAAGAGGCTAAGGAGGACATTTAATAGGACTAAATGCCCTTGAATAGCAAGCACTTTCTTTGATATTTTATGTTTCCAGATTAAGGTTTGGGCTGGTTTGTACACACATTTCACCAATTTAACTAGATCAGTCCCCTTAAAAAAATGGAAAAAAAAACCAACTGCTATCAGTTTTAACTAAGTCAAATGTATATACTTTCAACAAATGGAAATACTTATCTAAAATACTTACCAAATACCAATTAAAATAACTAAAGCCTTACCTAAACATAGGACTCCTCTGAGTCTAACTAAACTGGTGAAAATTGGGTGCGTTAGGTCTCTTATCTAGGTTTTAAAGTAGTTAATAGTTTTTATTTTGAATTAAAATATACAAGTAAATTTACTAACACATGATAAATCAATAAGCCAGATTTAAACTAGTGTATCAGCTTTAACACACAGTGGGCACGTCTACACGTTCATTAATGTGTCATAATTACTAAGCATTATGTTTAGTCCTTGAATAACCAAATACTAAATCAATGTGCACTAACTTGTGCTACTGTGCCTTTTAAATGGTGCTTACTCCACGGTAGCCTAATACTACTGTTTCATAGTTTCATAGTTTCTAGGGTCAGAAGGGACCTGAGCAGATCATCTAGTCCGACCCCCTGCCATGGCAGGAAAGAGCACTGGGGTCAAACGACCCCAGCAAGGTGGTCATCCAACCTCCTCTTAAAAACCCCCAGGGTGGGAGCCTGCACCACCTCACTTGGAAGCTGGTTCCAGACTCTAGCCGCCCTGACCGTGAAGTAGCGCCTCCTGATGTCCAACTTAAACCTTCCCTCCGCCAGCTTGTGACCATTGTTCCTGGTCACTCCTTGCGGCGCTCGGGGGAACAGGGACTCCCCCAGCGCCTGCTGATCCCCCCTAACCAGTTTATAACAGGCCACAAGATCCCCCCTCAGCCTTCTCTTTTGAAGGCTGAACAGGTTCAGGTCCCGCAACCTTTCCTCATAGGACCTACCCTGCTGTCCCTTGATCATACGAGTGGCCCTCCTCTGGACCCTCTCGATGCTGTCCACATCCCTCTTAAAGTGCGGCGCCCAGAACTGGACGCAGTACTCCAGCTGCGGCCTGACCAGTGCCGCATAGAGGGGGAGGATCACCTCCTTGGACCTGCTCGAGATGCATCTGTGGATGCACGACAAGGTGCAGTTGGCCTTCCTAGCCGCCTCCCCACATTGCCGACTCATGTTCATCTTGGAGTCAATAATGACTCCCAGATCCTTTTCCACCTCCGTGCTGACAAGAGGGGAGTTCCCCAGCCTGTATGTATGGTGCCGATTGTTCCTCCCCAGGTGCATCACCTTACACTTGTCTGTGTTAAACCCCATCCTGTTCTCCTCCGCCCATCCTTGTAACCTATCTAGGTCCAACTGTAGCCTGTTGCTCCCCTCTATTGTGCCCACATCCCCCCACATCTTAGTGTCATCAGCAAACTTGAACAGGGTGCTTTGCACCCCCTCGTCCAAATCACTGATGAAGATATTGAACAGTGCAGGCCCAAGGACCGAGCCCTGTGGGACCCCACTTCCCACGTCCTTCCAGGTCGAGAAGGACCCATCCACTACCACCCTCTGGGTGCGACTCTCTAACCAGTTGGCGACCCATTGGACTGTATGGGTGTCTACGCCACAGTCCCCCAGCTTCCTAATGAGAATGGGGTGAGAGACAGTATCAAAAGCCTTCCTGAAGTCTAGGAAAACTATATCCACTGCCACCCCTGCATCCAATGATTTAGTGACCTGGTCGTAAAAGGCCACCAGGTTGGTCTGACAGGACCTGCCGCTGATGAACCCGTGCTGGTTGCCCCTGAGCATGCCGTTCCCTGCTGGCCCCTCCTGGATGTGTGCCAGAATAATTTTCTCGAACAGCTTGCCCAGGATCGAGGTAAGGCTGACTGGCCTGTAGTTCCCCGGGTCCTCTTTCCTCCCCTTTTTGAAGATGGGAACCACGTTGGCCCTCTTCCAGTCCTCCGGCACCTCTCCAGAGCACCACGAGTGTTCATAAAGCCGTGCCAGGGGACTTGCAATGACCCCAGCGAGTTCCTTCAGGACTCTAGGGTGAAGATCATCTGGGCCGGCTGACTTAAAAATGTCCAGCCCCTCCAGAAGCTCCCTAACTAAATCCTCACTCACTCTAGGCCCAGGTGAGCCTCCCCCGGGGCCCAAAGGGGGCCCAGCAGGGAGGTGGCAGTTCTGGTCCTTACTGAGGAAGACAGAGGCAAAGAAGTTATTAAATATGTTGGCTTTGTCGTCTGGCGTGACAACCAGATTCCCCGTCTTGTCCTGCAAGGGCCCCACATTTCCTGGGGCCTTCTTTCTACTCCCTATGTACTTAAAAAAGGACTTCTTGTTGTCCTTAATCCGGGAAGCCAGCCCCTGTTCCATCTCTGCCTTGGCCTTCCTAACCATCCCCCTACATCCCCGAGCAACTGCTGAATAGTCCTCCTTAGTGATGACCCCTCCTTTCCATTGGGAGTAAGCCTCCTTTTTGGCAAGGAGACATTCCCGGATGTTTTTAGTGAGCCATGGAGGCTTATATGCTCTCCTGCCCCCTTTGACCCTCCTGGGGATTACTTTCCTCTGGGCTTGGAGGATCGTCTCCTTAAGGAGCGACTACTCCCCTTGGACACCCAGCTCCCCTCCCCTCTGAGTCTTCAGTGCTTCTCCAACTATCCTCCTTAGCTCGTTGAAGTTTGGTTAATACTGTGCAGTATTAACCAAAGTTTTTGCTCGCCATGCTACTGCACAGTGTTATTAGGCTACTATGTAGTTAGAGTCTTGTGTAGATGCACCCAGTTTCACCAGTTTAACTGATTCAGTACAAAACAAAACAAAAATGCATACACCTTTCTATGTAAGTTTGTACACACTTTGTGTATGGACCAGCCCTTTGTCATAAAACATAAAGAAGCAGATCTTTAGCTATCATGCAGATATATAAATGGCCCAATTCAAAAACTATTGAAGTCAGTAGAAGGATGTCTGTGCCCTCACTGGGCTTTGAATTAGACCTTAAATCAGATGTTCTTTCATCCCCACAAAAGAAAAGTTATACATGTTTAATTATATATATTGAGACCATGGTAACGAAGTTAATTATGAACCTTTGGAAAGAAAAAAAAATATATATATACCTGAGACTACAGCACTAGTTTTTTGGATTTTGTTTTTTTGTTGTCTTTTTTTTGGGGGGGGGGTGTTAAGAAATCTGAGAAATACCCTCTCCTCCCCCCGTATTTTTATATAAAATTACTAGGGTGTTTCTCAGATTTTTTAACACCCCTTCCTCCCCCCTCCAAAAAAAAGACAACAAAAAAACAAAACCCAAAAAACTACTACTATACTATATATACATATATATAAAAAAATTAGGCAGAGAAATGAACTGTTTTAGATTACTTCATGTTGACCAAAGAGTCATACCCTCTGGAGCTATCATGTATCTGACTGATTATTATACACAGGACATTGGAAGTGTTTCTATAAACTAGTGTCATTATATCAGCAATCACAAACATTATTGTTCTAGCATAGGCAGTTTTGTTGCTTTAAGGCCAGAAAAGCAGCCAAACCAGCAAATATTTAACAGGACAGACAGAAACCAATTTTCATTCAGACAAGGCACGCAACTTTTGATTCAACTGGCTACTTGAAGGAGACATTAATAATATCCACAAATAAAGTTCAACATAAGGCGAAAGTTCATTTTAGTGCCATGAATTATACTTAAAGGGGCAAGGCTAAGGAAATCCAACTGCAATGGACTTGTTTAAAATCATTAAGGATTTATGAGAAATGGTCCCCAGGTTCTACATCAGTGTTAC